ACTAATAATGTTTAATTAGATACTTTTAAAAAAATAAAAATCCATTTATTTCCAGACATTAGGAAAGAGGCCATGCCATAGCCTATCCGGGCTAAACTTGTTCTTCATGAACACTGAACACTAAGACACTGCACTAGTAATACCGCTATCCATGCAACTTCCTTCGTATTCGGTTGAGTATTAAAAATTTGACATGCACAGTTATGGTTTTTTTTTTATTTTATTGACTCTAAATAGTTTAATTATATTTTGTAGAGCAAACCTGATGCTTTTTCACGCTTGATAACATTCTTTCTTTCTATTCGGCCTAAATTATTGAGTTATCTATTGTACACGTTTGTTAAATAGCCTCGAGTAAATAAGTCTATGCGTAATACCTAATATTGTGTACAAGGCTTAAAGTGAATCATGCAGCATGTAGCCTTATATAAAGGAACACACATCGTACAAAGGAACGCACATTGTACAAATGAACACATATTGTACAAAGGAACACACATTTTAAAAAGGAACACACAACGTACAAAGGAACACACATTGTACAAAGTAGCACACATTGTAGAAAGGGACACACTCGTACAAAGGAACACACTTCGTACAAAGGAACGCACATTGTACACATGAACACATATTGTACAAAGGAACACACATTGTACAAAGGAACACACATTGTACAAAGGTACACACATTGTACAAAGGAACACACATTGTACAAACCACTACAGCGACATCTTAAAATAAACAGTGCGCGCTGCTGTGCAAGTTGTTCGATCTCTCGACATTCCATCAAGATTTACTTGTTTTTGAAAGGAGACCATTTCCAGATGTGCCAGATATAGGCAGCGGCGTATCTTTGCTGTGGTCTGAGTTTCCCAGAGTGTAGCGTATGCCCCAAGATGGGGCACTTTCAAGCATATTGGCTGGGGGCACCTAGCCTCTGTGAAAAATGCCATGTTAGACAGGACACGGGGGGTAGGAAGGGTGGGCAGAGAGGGCGTTGACGCCCCAGGATATTTATTTTATTTTATGAAGGGGGCAGAGTTTTGTCGTGGAAGGGGGTGGCAAAATACTAAACCTGCCGAGGGTGGCACTTAGACTAGCTACGCCTCTGGGCTTAGCGGCGACCACGATCAACTATAACCTGTCAACAGAAAATTTTTGATCAACTGAAAATCAAGAGGTGCAGTTTGACGTATACTTGGATTCAGTGTTTCTTTCAGAAAAATTGATCGAGGGAAGGGTCATGTCTATCAGCACGTAAAATAGGTATTAGGGCACCCGGTACATTACATAACATGAATTCACCCCGGTTGTGGCGCACCCCAGGGTATTGTTTTGGCTCCAACTTTGCTTCGACCCCGTAGCGTCATCTTGATCGGCATGGTGGAAGGGGTCGAGCAGCAATAGAGGGCGTGGAAGACTCCCGAGTAAATGAAAAGAAAAAAAGTGGGGAGAGGAGGGACTGAGGGTGTCAATGTTAAAGTTTTGATAAATTAAATTTCTTCATGAATAATTTTTTTTTAATTAAATGCATACACATATTATTATATTTCAATACAAAAATATGTTAAAGATTTATTTTTAATTTTCTCTTTTTATTAAGTGTAAATGTTAAAATATATTCAGGAAAGTAATTAGTAAACATGATCTCATCTCATCTCCAAATCATACGTGATCTCATCTCCAAATTAAAAGTTTTATAATTTGTATTCTTTTTCCCCCATGTAGGCCTATTATGAAAACAAATTCAATGTGCGAAAAAATGTACTAAACTTGTACATGTTTATCCGAATTTGCATTATAGCAACAACAACAAAAAAGGAGGGGGGTGGCGTTATAGTGAGGTACTATATAACTATAACAGTAACACACTTAATTTCATTATTTGTTTTCGTTTCTTTATTAAAATATATTCTGAAACGGGTAATAAAATGTATATTCTTTAGAACAATTGAAAATATAAATACCGAGAATTAAGATGTATAACACTATAAACAATTGTGTGTGGAAGTGCTAACTTAACAAGACTTGATTTTTACTATTATTTTACTTTGATCTTTTTGTATATAAATAAGTGGGGTTGTTATTGCAAGCGGCCTCTAAATTAGAATAGCATACGGCCTCTCGTAAGCTCTACTCTACACTGGAAAGCCTAGGTTAAAGGGGTGGGCGGTGTGGTTCAAGCAGGCCACAAAGTAGCAGGAGACATGGCTAGAAATAAAACTATTTAAAATAAACTATGAGAAGCAATACTTTTAGATTTTTGTAAAAATATGGACATCTTAATAATCACTATTTACTTCGGGGGGCTGAATAAACCAAAAGGCCGGATGTGGCCCACCGGTCGTATTTTTCCGACCACTAGGCATGTTGTTTGTTTTTTTTGTTAATGACAGTAGCTGCCACAGAACTCGACCACCTTGCTTGTAGAATAAGGCTTTGAAATACTTGGGTGGGGTGGAGAAAATGTGCCAACAGCAGGCCCGTCAGTCGGAACAAAATCTGACAGGGGACATAAGAGTTGGTAGCTTTTTTTGAATTCCTAGTTCTAGAAATGGAAGAAGGTAAACAATCCAGGGAATAAATCAAAAGACTTTTAATATGGAAATTATCTTTCTTGAAACTTGATGCCTTCATAACGTAAATTAATATCCGTGCTGTGGTGGGCTGTCACCTTGAGGTGTGAGAAGCACTAGCTCTGAGTTTGCAATAATTTTCAATAAATATGATTTATAAATGAAAAATTAATTCCCTCCCCCCCCCCGGCCCCTTTTCTTTTTGTTCTCTGTTGAGCAACCAAATTTTAGATCAAATCCGTTTAAATTTGCCGGATATTTTTCTATCTCAATTCCTGTGTTTTGCGTGTCCTTTTTTTTTTGTTTTTTTGTTTTTGCTGGTTGTTTTACAAGCAGAGATATCCCCCCCCCCCGCAATAAATGTATTTCCATGCATGACCAACAGGGACACCTTGATTTACAAATGGAAATTTTTTTTTTGTTTTTTTGTTTTTGCTGGTTGTTTTACAAGCAAAGATATCCCCCCCCCCCGCAATAAATGTATGTACATGCATGACCAACAGGGACACCTTGATTTACAAATGGAATCATCAAGACAGCAGGGGTCAAGGATCAAGTTCCAGTTTAATGAACCAAACACATGATCTTTGAAACAACAAACAAGAGTAACTCCATCGTACATGTATCCCCCACGTCGTGAAAGACAATAAGAATATAGTTAAATTAAAACACATAATAGATTTTTTTAAAATAATATAATAACATAGTATAGCAATAACATACAGGATGGTCAAATATTGAAGAAAAAAAAAAGGGGGGGGGGGGGAATCAAGTTGATGAAAATATTATGAATAAAGACTGACAATAGGACAAAAGACCCTGACACACATGATAATATATGCATTGTTTGCTGGGGTGTTTTTGGCAACAAATGTTTGGTTTTTTTAAATCAGTAAATTATGTACAGACAACACATCAACAGCTTTCATTCAGTTCAAAAAGGGGTGGGTTTTTTTTTAATATAAAGATTACTCCCCCAAAAAACAACGTCACTGGAGCATAGCATAGTATTATTATTGATTAACTCAAACCCTCAAAAAATTTCTTTAAAAAATAATTTAAAAAGGAAAGGGTCTTGTAGCTATACTTGCAGGTACACTATTTAGAAAACAAACTGTATTTAACTGTGATGTTCGGATTAAAGGGCATCTAATGTTTAATTAATAAGCCATGTAAATTGAGTTGGTAAAGGGCATGCAATGCTTCATATTATGACCTGTTATGTTACCTATAACAGCAAGTTATTAAAAAAAAAAGCTTTCTTTATGCAAAAAATTGTTATACTTGTTCAGGGGACACCATAAGTCAGTGGACACCATAAGCCATTGGACACCATAAGTGATTAAGTCAGTTGACAAAGAATAACCTATAGACATGGACTGTTGTATGAACATCTGGTCCGATGACGGGGTCTCAGACTCTCACATGGTCCACGGACCAACAGGGTCTCAAGAATCTCATATGGTCCACTGAGCGATGAGGTATGAAGAATCTCATATGGTCCACTGTGCGATGGGGTCTCAAGAATATCATATGGTCCACTGTGCGATGGGGTCTCAAGAATCTCATATGGTCCACTGTGCGATGGGGTCTCAAAAATCTCATATGGTCTACTGTGCAATGTGGTCTCAAGACTCCAATATGGTCGACTGGGCAATGTGATATCAACACTCTCATAAGGTCCACTGAGCAATGGGCTGGGGTCTCAGAATCTCATACGGTCCACTGAGTGATTGGGTCTCAAGACTCTCAGATGGCCCACGGAGCATTCTCTTCCTGCCTGAGTGCCTACAATGTAATTTGTACAAGATCTTGTAATAAGACTGAAAGCTAACAGCGAGGTATGTTGATGCGTTGTGGCACATTGTATATCCTCACGTAGCATTTCATATATGGTAGCATGAGTTTCAGACTCCAGCTCTGGCCCACTGGCTTACACTACTAAATTCAAGAGAGTATAAAGAACCAGTCATTGTTATGAGCTTTAACAAAGGCACACAGAAGACTTCTCACCTATGTCTAGAACACTAAAACAATAAATAATAATATCTATAGTCAGACCAAAGCATGGACAGTTAAATATAAGTGGAAAGAAGTTTCTATTTTATAAGAAAACGAAGTAGAATGAATTTCAATCACTGCATACGACATGGGAAATGAGATTGTTGAAATAAAATTCAAAATCAAACACAATTTAATATAATGATTGTTTTCAAACAGTATTTAAAAATTCACATTATTTCTACCAGAGATACTGTGTGTGTGTAGCTTTATTAGTGGTCTCCAGTCTCCTATATCTCTACAGTGGTCTCCAGTCTCCTATCTCTACAGTGGTCTCCAGTCTCCTATCTCTACAGTGGTCTCCAGTCTCCTATCTCTACAGTGGTCTCCTGTCTCCTATCTCTACAGTGGTCTCCAGTCTCTGCAGTGGTCTCCAGTCTTCGCAGTGGTCTCCAGTCTCCTATCTCTACAGTGGTCTCCAGTCTCCTATCTCTTCAGTGGTCTCCTGTCTCTACAGTGGTCTCCAGTCTCTGCAGTGGTCTCCAGTCACTGCAGTGGTCTCCAGTCACTGCAGTGGTCTCTAGTCTCCTGTCTCTGCAATGGTCTCCAGTCTCCTATCTCTACAGTGGTCTCTCTAGTCCCTTATCTCTACAGTAGTCTCCAGTCTCCTATCTCTACAGTGGTCTCCAGTCTCATATCTCTACAGTGGTCTCCAGTCTCCTAACTCTACAGTGGTCTCCAGTCCCCTATCTCTACAGTGGTCTCCAGTTTCCTATCTCTAATAAAAGCCATGCCTTATAAATATTTCTTATCAGAACTTAAAAGCTAATAACTCATCTGTTCTTGTAACCACTTTTCCTTGCAACCCATGTTGGGAAACACTACACTACACTAAAAATATCTTGTTTTGGTTACATGAAATTAAAGAATTTACACAAAACAATTTTTCTGTTCACAGACACAGTCAAATCATTCAAGAGTTGATATAACTCAATCAAGTGAATAGTCACTGGTCATCTAGCTCTATGAAACATAACATATAATCACTTCTGACCCACAACATCAGAATAAAAGTGACACATGACATGATGAGAGGGTCATTATAATACAATTTTATTAACCAATCAAAAGAAAACAAATAGAATAAAAAAATGATGCTGTGACATAAAATTATGTGGTCTCTAAATATGGGGCTAGTTTATGGAGTGGTTTTAAGTTTCTGACGACGACACATTTTCAAAAATAAATACTTGAACAAACCTTTACACGTAGACCAACTGGATGATAAAACAACATACTTTGATTGCCATTGAATTTTTTTTAAAAATATTGTTTTATTGCCTAACCTACAATAAATACATTGAAACATTCTGTCAGTGAGTCCAAGCATTCAAACATAGAGGAAAAAAATGATTAAATCATTGAGAATTTTTTATTTAACTTTAAGTCTCCCTGAGCTATTTTCAGATCATCAAAACTTTTTTTTTTAAATGTAATTGGGGTTAGCTATCTGTTATTATAAGATGTTAACTAAATGTAATACTTCGGACATTTTGTTATTTTATTTTTTTTACAAATGGGGCGCCTGGTATATAGACAAGTGAACTTACGCTTGACTTCAAAAATAAACTACAAAATGGAGGAAAAAAAATGCTAAACAAAAGTTAACTCCACATTATAAAGAAACCCAAGGCATTTTATACATACAGACTCCAGCTAAAGAGAACCCTGCTCTTTGCTGAAACATTCTCTCTCCCGACACATCACATTAAAACAATGAGTTATTATTATATATTAGAATCTTTTGGTACATTGCACATGTGACACTGTAAAATTAAAAAAAATTCATCAATACATTACAAGAGAGTAGAGGAAACAACTTGTATCAACTGAGATAATGAAAGATGATGTCCTGAAATACTGAGTGGAGACTAAAGGCACTGTATTCTGTTGAACATAAGTCCATAGTGTGCACATTATAATGATGATAGTGTGCACATTATGATATTGTGCACACTATGATAGTCTGAATGTTATATTGTGCACATTATGATAATGTGAACATAATTAATAATATGCACATTATAACAGTGTCCACGAAAGTGTGCACATGATATTGACACATGACATTTTATGATGTTTATTACATGCACATTATGTCCATAGTGTGCACATAATGATATTGAAAAAAAAATGCTATATGGGTGAGAGATTACAGAGGGGATCGTATTTGTTCAGGAGATTAATACTCAAAATGGTCAGTGTAAATTTACATGGGGACATTTCTGATACAAAGAAGAAGAAGAGACAGATTTCTCAGAGATTTTACTTAACTGGTGTGGACATTAGTTCCAATGTAACTTTAGGGCGGCCTCCAATGTAACTTTAGAGTCAGCCACCAAAGTAGCTTTAGAGCCAGCCTCCAATGTGGTATATTTGCCTAGTTATATAACCTAATGGTTTCTATTAACAGAGTTAGACTTCATTAATCGGTAATCAGCTTTTTGGACAATGATGGAATGAATATTCTAGCATTACTAGCACTATTATAGAGCTACATTGACTTCATTCGGACTTCCTAAAACACAAGGTTTTTTTAAATTTCTAATTATCCGCTGTTCTTGTTTTGTATTGTCTGCGGCTGTCTTTTCATGTCACCCCCCCCCCCCCACCTTTTTTTGTTTCCTTTTTTTTTTCTTCCTTTTNTTCAAACTGTAGACTGAAAGTTAGGGTCTAGATTCTGACCGTACAGACTGAAAGTGATGGTCTACATTCAAACTGTAGACTGAAAGTTAGGGTCTAGATTCTGACCGTACAGACTGAAAGTGATGGTCTACATTCAAACTGTAGACTGAAAGTTAGGGTCTAGATTCTGACCGTACAGACTGAAAGTGATGGTCTACATTCAAACTGTAGACTGAAAGTTAGGGTCTAGATTCTGACCGTACAGACTGAAAGTGATGGTCTACATTCAAACTGTAGACTGAAAGTTAGGGTCTAGATTCTGACCGTACAGACTGAAAGTGATGGTCTACATTCAAACTGTAGACTGAAAGTTAGGGTCTAGATTCTGACCGTACAGACTGAAAGTGATGGTCTATATTCTAACTGTAGACTGAAAGTGATAGTCTATATTGTGACTATACAGACTGAAAGTGGTGGTCTATATTCTAACTGTAGACTGAAAGTGATAGTCTATATATTGTGACTATACAGACTGAAAGTGATGGTCTATATTCTAACCTGTACAGATTGAAAGTGATGGTCCATCTTAAAACAAATATAGATTACAAGCTATGAGTTACAGTTTGTCATAATTTATTAAAAAGAACATACATTTACTTTAATTCTCTGTAATTCATTATACATGATCAACAATGCATCCACATGCATTATGACAACTATATCCCTAGGTTAAAATAAGTTAATTTTACAATGTCAAGCACAGCCAATAGTTTCAAAGACTATTATTAAAACAGGCAGTCACTACAGCAGTTCCCAAACTGTTAACGCCAAACTTAATTATTTTTGTTTAAACAGTAATATTCTACACAAAAACCAGATTGTGTTGAATTGAAAGGGGTTCAACGTGTTAATATTATCATTTTTTTCCCACTCTATTATATTATGGGGTACAGTTTGAGAGCCACTGTATTTCATCCGCAGTGCAATTGAAGCACTTTAACACCTACCACACTTCATCAATGCATTATTAAATATTTCAGAATGAACTAGCATATAATGAAAGTAAATTTTCCTTCAAAATGATAAATGCATGAATGCTTCTGATGCCAATAAATTTTTTGTTTAATTTGTAAACCAGTTAAATTAATTTCATTCAAAATTTATAAAAGTACAAACCGAAAAAACCAACAACAAAAAAAACAGCCAAACTGATTCAACTTAAACTGCACGAATGTTCGACTCTAGCTAACATCACCACAAGTGTAGCCCACTGAGCAACAAAAATAATAATGAATGGGGTAAATCCGCCTAATAAAACATTTAAAATAATCAAACAGACATATTTGTTCCAAGACGTTCTCATGCAGGTGCTCATGCTGGTGGAGGACATCTGCACCCAGCTACTGTGAGAACAACAAGCCTATTTCTTGTTTCTGCCTAGGCTTGTCCACAATAAAAAGCAGAGATTCAGGTGGGGGGCATCCGGTGTTTGCTTGTTGTCAAAGTGCAATCAATCAAATCAAGCTTGCAAATCTACAAGCACATTTGATGAGATCATCGACTGACATGAGTGAATTTAATTTTAAACTGAGCACCAGCCAAGACCAACTTACTTGCAACCACTTGCAACAACAACAAAAATATAATAAAGCCAAAGCAAGAAACCAATTTGTATACAAGTAGACTGAGACATTAAGGCGTAATGTTATGCCCAAGAGGACCACCCAAACTATCACAGTTATCACCTGCTAGACCGTTCACTGCTTGGCTTTGCCAGCTCCGCCCCCCTTGGACAAATTTGTCGTGCTGGAGCTACTGGCCGAGGAGGAGGCTGCAGAGGACTGTTGATTTTGTGGAATGCCGTTGGGTCTGACCTGCGTGACAGCCGGATTCAAGATGGCGGGATGGTGACTGCCTGGACCTGCAGGAGTTGAAGGGCTTGATGGCGATGCTGAGGGGTTGGCTGGCCCACCTTTATTATGGCTGTTGAGAAGGGGGAAAAAAAGCAAGTTCATTGAGACAATTATTATTAAAGGTTAATAGAAAACAAAATAACCTGAAATTGTTAACTTTTTTTTCAAACACAGCTTGTTTGAATTCTTGTTGAAAAAACAAACATAGCAAGATTTGATGATAAACCAATGAATCTAGGTCCTAAGTCTAAATGTTATGAATGTCTTCACCGGAATTCAATTACAAACAAAAAAATATTTTGTTTGGGTTTTCTGCAACTGAGAGTGAAAGACTCATGAGAAGATGGATTTAAAGTTTATACAAAAATGTGCAAAATTCCAAGAATTGACTTAAATCTAAGATAGAACCCCAAAGATAGTTAAGAAAACTGAAATACTACAAATAATAAGTGTACAAAATATTGATAATAGTAGAAGAATAATTAACAAAAATAATTGGACAAAACAAAAGACAAAAAACGACTAAACTAAAAAATTGTCTTGACCAAAGTGAGATAGTCAACCTATTTTAAATGTCTGGATTCAATTTTACAAAAAAGTTTTCTAACAGGGGACTATTTTCTTCAAAAATTGTTTTTCTTCTCTTTGAACACCTAGCTCCTCAAAGAAAATATGCATTCAAAATTTATCTTAGTGAATTCAACAATTCAACAGTTGTGTGTTGGCACTATGTGGTATTTTTCAATTTAACTCCCTTAAACAAGCAGTTTAAAAACAAGTTTTTAGATCAGATTCATTTGTAATTTCAGCCATCTTATTTGATATCCAGAAACCCTTAGGGCCCTAGGGTGATTATAAAATAAATAAAACTCATACCACAGAGCGTTAAACAGAAGGCAAACAAGAGGAAAAACAGAAATTTCAACACCACATACATCTCCCCTCCCTTAACTTTTACCCAATTCAAGGGAGAAAATAAAGGTAAAATGATCAAAGCTAGGAGCAGAAGTTTTAAAGTTTGGGATGAAAAGGAAAAGTTAATTACACTTGCAGATCACCTGACTTGAGGGGTGTATTGACCTCATTAGTGAAATGCTGTAAGATTCTTGCTTTCCGGTAATTATAAACCTCATTAGTGAGCTGTTATAAATTTAGTTTCTCTAGTGCAGTCACCAGGGGGGCAGGTTCAAGAAAAAAAGAGGTATTCATAAAGAGTAGACAGGATTCTTAGAAAAACAGGATGGACCAAATAACTTTCAAAATTCTATGCAGAGGCAGCTTTTGATATCATGAAAGAATTTCTTCTAGAAGACTGAAAGCAGATTAAGGAATACTCCAAATATAGCATGTTAATAAATAGTGGCGACAATTTTTTTAAAAAAGTATTTTGAGAGCTTAATTACTGAACTCTCTAGTTTAATAGCACAAGACAAACACAAATAAATACAGGAACAAAATAACAAGGAATTTGAGAATGTAAAAAATTATTAACTTCATAATTTTATGTTATGCATAAAATTTTTTAAAAATTTTAATGAAAAAAAATTTCACAGTTCAACTGCAAAATATGGACCATACAATTTTTTAAAGTCTGCATTCCAGTTTACATGATAAGCATTGGAAGCAACTGTCTGTGAGTGGTTAAAACTGACCTGTCAGAGAGGTCCCCAGAGTTTCTGCTGTTCCCAGCAGGTTGGGGGGATGTTGGTCCATTGACATGGCCTGATAGGTCATTGGTGCATTCTTCCGCTGAGGCTGAGCCCATGACTTCCTCATCAAATATCCTATATCTGGAGACAAGCCAATCAGCTTTATGTTCACGAGTCAGAGATAAAAACGGGATGTTTTACCTGACTAAAAACAGTTTGTCTTCAAACAATCATCTGGAAATCTATGCTTTTATGTCCAAACTTTGAAACACTTGATTCTCAACCAAAAAAAAATACACAGGCTTTGTTTTTTCACCAGAGACACTCTCAGAGAAATTACACCCTTTTCTCTTGGAGAAGGGTGGATACCATGAAATAAAGCTATGTCTACTATTTCAGTCCCTTATGATGAATTTCCCATTTTCACTACAAAAAAATAATGTGTGACCAAGATTTAGGATCCACTAATAACTGTTCTATGACACTCAAGGCAAAGGTTGTCTGAGTAGATTTCCCATTAAAACTTAATCTTTGATATAAACTAAATACAACGCATTGTGTTTTTTCATTGAACAGCCCATGTCCCAGTCAACTTACCTAAATCCATACTCATCCTCATACTCATTGTTCTCCTCATCACTATCCTCATCTGGTGCTACAAACATCACTGACAATGTTATATCTCCTTGCTGAAATAATGATAACACTGTTAGGTTAACCTTTTATTGAATGTACCATATTTGGATGAACATTCATTTGCAAATGAATACACTAAGACCTATGATTGGATACTTAGATTGAGCCGTGATTTACACATTGATCAATGATTTAATACCCCACCCCCAATCCATACTTCAACTAAATAAATTACTAGGTTTTAATTGTCTGAATGAAAAGAACAACAACAAAATGATTCTGTTTTAAATAGCATACTTCTTTGTTGTTACAAAGTTAAACACTCTCAACATCATAAGGGGATGATAAATATGAAATGATTGATGAGCTTCTAGAAAATTTCAACCACAAAACACTGGTTACCTGTTGCGAAAGAATTTTGACAGCTTCAGCGTGCTTGGAATTTCGTAAATCAATATCATTGACAGATAAAATAGCATCACCCACATAGAGCTGACCGCACCTGTGTGCAGGCTGATCTTCATGAATCTCTGAGATGAGAATGGGCACCCCATGTTCTTTGCCACCCTGTCAGACAAGACAATGGACATGAAGCTGTGCATAACAACATCTTCTGATCAACAAGTAACAAACAATCAAAATAGGTGTCTCTCATGACAAATTTTTAGTTTATCCATGGTAGGGAACATTGCAATTTGATTTTTTTTTTTAATATATGAACTAAATTTCATTTGACTATCATTTTTTATTTAGACCATTTTTTTAAAAAAATGTTCAAAGTTATAATTAGTTGATGATTTCTTAAATGTTCCAACTTTAACTTACTGTTATAGACATGCCAAGACCTTCTTCTGGTTCCTTGTGCACCGTTACTGTTCTTGTGTCTCCTAGCCCATGCTTTTTCTTGAGCTCTTGGAAATTCTACAAAAAGAGTGACAAGGTGCCAGACATATTTAGAGACATTAGTGTGGTCGTTTCAACTTTTATTAAAATTTGGTTGCCCCGTATATCAAAGTCATGCCGTCAATATCTAAATGTCATGCCCATGATACTGAACCACATTAAATAAAATCCCCCATAACGACAGAAAGTGCACAAGTTTTAAATCAATATTTTGTTGTTCATTTATAGTTAAATTTCAATATCAGTTCCCCATTCATGTCGGTTACAGCAAGTACTTTTCATACTAGGCATAAAAAAAAAATCCAGAAATTTGAAAGCGTTTTCTTACGTGGCCAGGGGGCATGGGTAACTTCTTCTTACGAACGTTACGTCCCCTGCATGCTCTGATGACAGTCTTGTGACGGTGGAGATGGATTTCTGCCTCCAGCTGATTCCACAACTTATCATGTTCAGCCCCTCTCATGTCCCTTCCTAGCAACTGGATTTGTTGAATTCTGGTAAATAAACAAAATATAATTATGACTGAATCATCGGAAATGATGAAGGACAAGTAGGTCCAGGGTAAAAGATGAAGGAAAAGTAGAAACTTTCACCAACTGAAACACATGTGACAAAAACAAGTATGTCCAATTAGGTTGTGAAACATAAACTTTTTTTTTTTTGGGGATGGTGCGTCCCCAAAAATATAAACCTTGTCCCTTCTATAATAACTGGATTGATTTTCCACTCCACATCTGCTCACATTTAGTCATGGTGATCAAGTTTCTAACGTTAATGAAATTTGAGAAAAACTGTAAGTATTGGTTCAATTTTACAAATCAGCTTGCCCATGCAGAGCTTTCATTGGAGTATGAGAATAGCAGGAGGAGACAGGTCTGATAGGGGATTCAATGAAGTTGCTGAAGCACTAAGAATTTGTAAAATTCTACACAAAGAAAATCTGTCTATTTCTGGTTCATAAGAAAAACAAAAAGCACTTTATGGTGCTGTCATTAATAAACAGGTATGCTGAGTGATGTAATCTTTGGTTCTTAGCCTTACAGTTAATAATGGACTAATATCAATGGGTGTGAGCAGCTAATGGGAGGCAAGGTATTTTATGGACACAATATGTAGATAAAATAAAGAAGTGCTAACTACAACATGGATCACTCAGTTTGGTGTGGATGAAAAATTATAAAATAAAATGTATATTTTTAAATGTGATTTAAATTTTTTTAAATATTTTCAGTGATATGTTAAAGTATGTGGAGCTCTTCACAAAGATTTGTCCTGTAAAAACATATCAGGTGCCCATAATCTTAAAAGGCCAAACACATCAGAGATACTGTCTTAAATAAGGTTTTTCAAGGCTATTGAAAATTTACTTTAAATAATTTTGATCTAAGGGACGTACCACAAGATAAATCTATGTTAGTTTGTAAAACAGATTTAGAATAGTAATATCTATTAAAATATGCCAAGCAAAATGGTCTCAATTGAATAGCAATTGCCATTTTGCGAGACCCCATCCACCTCCCTTTTCTCCAATCCTAGCTCTAAGCATAGTCTTTAAATCTGACATTCCCTAGCTAGCAACACAACTGACTCATCCTGTTTCATGCATCTTCCTTCAATTACACATGATGGTCTGGCTCTGATTTAAATTACAACATCCTTTTTTTTTAAAATTATACCATTATTCCATTTTAAAACAAACAGAATAAGTAGCTATGGTGTTTACTTTTTTCAATAGAAGTTTTTCTAAACACAAACTTTAAGACATGTAAATTGAATCTGCCAGAAGTATTATCTCTCATCAATAAATAGTTCATCGTGAAATTATTTTAAAAAAAAAAAAAAATTGCCATTAAAATAATAATATATCATGTTAATCAGTAAACTTATTATCATATTTTCAAGCTACAAATAATTCAAAATTCCCCCCTCCCCACCCACCCCCTCTCAAATTTAAACAGCATTTTCATAAAACAAATTTTAAAAAACTTAAAATATTTTAAAAAAAAAAAAAATTGTCATTAAAATAATAATATATCATGTTAATCAGTAAACTTATTATCATATTTTCAAGCTACAAATAATTCAAAATTCCCCCCCCCCCCACCCACCCCCTCTCAAATTTAAACAGCATTTTCATAAAACAAATTTTAAAAAACTTTATGAAAACTCTTGTCAAAAATAGTTGAACACTTTCAGGCAGTGGAAGAAAACCTTCAAAACAAGAGTTGAACAAATCAGTGTAATGATCACACAGGGCCCAGCAGTTTTAACTCTAATTGGCAGCCAGCCAATGCAGTACATTACACCTGAAAGGGGAGGCAACACCAACAGATGGATACAGGGCCCAGGGAAATTCAACCTGCTTGTTTTCTTTCAAACCAAAACAAATAAGCTTGTAAAACTGCTTAAATCCTTATGAGCTGAAAACGTTGAGCTAATGGAGGGTGGCAGCCCCCATCTGTTTAACACGGGGGAGACAGGAAAGGGGATTTGCAACATGTAACCAGCCCAGCTGGCTTCTTTATGCTTAAAACACTCACTACTTACACTTAACTTTGTAACATAACGGCTATAACCACAACTTTTTTTTTAAAGAGCCACATTTTGATTTAAACTGCGGCAGTGTTTTACACCATTTCAAAGGTGTAAGCTTTTTGACTAAAGGTTTAATGCAGAAAGCACACAGTGGTTAGTTGAACTGAGGAGGGCACCCTGCCATTAGAAATGTATATTGGGTTGGAGGGGAGGGGTGGGCTGGGCGGTGGTGTTCACGGCACATCTGTACCTCAATAAAATGAAATGACTATGACAGAATAAAAAAAACTGCTCAGAAAACATGAATAGGATATACCAAACTTTCCTTTGTAATTGTTCAGAAAACATAAACATTTTAACAAAATTTAATGAGATTTGCCAATACACTGCCTGTCAATCTAATCACTTTCCCGTGTTATGGAAAAAATGCACTGTTTCAGTTTACTTTAGGGATCTGTCCCAATGCAATTGTGCAAGCAAGTGTTTTCTAAATTGTAAATTATTGGAATTTGATACAATTTGTATAGTATCAATTGTGCACTCATTACCTGCTCAGCCATTGAATGAGTGTGATTAAGCGGGAAGAGATTATACATTTTTTTAAAATGTGATCTTTAGTGTCTCCATCAAACACTTTTCTTTATAATCTCAAACCCAAAACGATAAATACATGCAACTCCTAATACTAGAAGAACTATTTCAGCAGTCTTGATATGTTATTTTTTTACCTTTACTCTTCTTTCATGGCAAGTGTTTGATACAAAGTATGATACTTTGTTTTAATATCAAAGATTAATTATGAATGCCAACTGGTACTGTTTACCCGTAATTTGTACAGTTTTTTTACATTTGAGGAGGTGTATGGCCATACAATCATTTTGACTGTCTTCCAATGAATTTAGACTAGTATTTTTGCACAAGACACACATTCAAAACTGGTGGTGCCATAAATTCAATGTTGGGCAACAAGAAGAAGCTAAAATAATTTGTCACTTCAAAATGACTAAGCTGAGGATCGGTGGGCGATCTAAATTTAGAAACAGGTGGTTTCATTTATAATACTAAGACAGCGTAGTACTTTGAGTAGTAAACCAAACTTACAAATCCATTTGAGTAATTCTTAACAAGAACTGCTGAGTTATCAAGTGTTCTTATAATTGATATTAAATAATTAAATATATTTAATATTATTATCAAGCAATTACTAGAATGTCAATATTCCTATTTATTACAATACCTCTGGTAAATTGAAAAAAAACGTTATAGGTTGAAGGTAAATTCAACAACTTTGTCTTCTAAGACGAACTTTATTTTTCTTGGTTAACCAAAGAATTGTGTCTAATTCCATTTAAATTGCTATCAAATTTGTCATCTGCCTATTTTTAATAAAATTGATACTGGCCAGTCCAAAAAAAATATCAAAATTTGACAAATATCGAACTTCTAACAAGCTATTTTTATTTAAAAGATGTGATAGATCCATTTATGAATGATGTAAACATACTTAACTAAATACGCGCACAGCCAAGGGGAGACTATTCATTTTTATTCATGCATTCAAAACATTGATAAAATGTTAAAAAGTATTTTTTTTTTAGACTTTTCTTTTTTTCTTTCTTTTTGTACATTTTTGGGGAAATTTTGAATAGGATACCAAACTTTTCTTTTGTAATTATTCAGAAAACATAAAGATTTTTCTTTATCCCACGTAACAATATTTGTGACATTTTCAAATGTTTTAAGAAAATACTACTCCTTAAAACTTGATGATCATCAAATACTTACTCTTTGCTCTTAAATACATCCAAATCTTACATTAGAGATGTGATATAAAATATACCTCACTTTTGCAGTAAGTAAAAAGGCAGGTTCAGTTGATGCTGGCTGAACAGCTTAAAATAAATCAAATTAAAAGAGCCTAGAAGTCTTTTCTTTCTTTAGTGGTGTTGTCTAAACAGGGAATAACAAAAATACATTTTCAGGGGTGGTCATGTGACACCACCACCATCTTTTCAAGTCACATTTTAGATTAATAATCTGAATTAAAGGTTATGAACTATGTAGACAAGCTGCATAATCAGGGTGATCACAGGTTAGATTTTTATTTTAAAAACCACAATGCAATTGTATTAGTTCATCCTTTCCATTTTAACTTTATAAGAAACTGAGCAAATAATTCTCACAAAGTTAATTAATGAGGAGGAAAAATGGATATGATATTGAAGTCACCTTTCGCATTCATTTTATCCACAAAATTAAGGTTAATATTAAATATTATTGACCCGGGGTTGCAAGAATAAATAATTTAACGTCAAGTTTAAAAGCAAAATATACAAAAATTTATTTATTTAAAGGATCTTACAGAATAGCCTAATTTCCATTTGTTGGTTTTCAAAAAGATTATTGGTTGTTGGTTTTTACAATATAAATTGTCTTTTTCAGTTTTCCAAAAATATTTTTTTTAAATAGATAAACATCTAATCTATTTTTTATGGTTTGACAGTGAGGTAAGATAAAAAAAAATTACATCTAGTTAAAGGCAGGCAGTAGACAGCAAATGAATATAGTGCAATATTTTGTTTAAATAAACAAATGACATTATGAAACCTGGTACCACCTAAATAAAAATATAAATGACTGAACACAATTAACAGTTACTGAGAGTTAAAATGAAATACCTTCCAGCAAGTTCTTTGTCCAGATACCTTGCAGCCAGCCTGGCACCATAAACTTCACTCTGTAATGCCAGAATATTCAGCCTCAGCTCATGGTTGTCCTTACGCAACATTTTTACTTCTGCTTCCAACCTTGACACAGCTTGAGAATTCTGTTGTCTGTTTGTCAGCTCCGCTTCCTGTAAGTTTTTTAAAAAAAGAGGTATCTGTCTACAGAGGGTTTTGTAAAGGTCTCCTCTTCCAAACACTAACTACTGCAAATTGAAGCATATAATGTGATCCCTGTTTAATGTGAACCCTTAACTTTGTGTTTGAAAAAAGCCTTATAATATATGATGCAATATAATTCGATTTGTTAATCTTGTTCCATAACATGTCTTTTTCCTAGAAAAAAGAAACATAAGGTTATAAAACAGTGAACACAATATACTTTTGTGAGATGGGCTATATTTCATTTGCTGGATTTAAATTCAAGATACATACATTTACAGGAACCTGTATTACTAGACCTAGCAGAATTAACCAATGAATTACCATTAACAATATGAATATTGCTACCAAATTCATAATTTCAGGTAACTTTTTACAAAATTGGTATTTATTGATGTAAAAACTCAAAATTTGAAGAAAGTATTAAACATCTTAGAATGAAAGAGTATTCAAAATTTTGTTGTTGTTACCCGGTATGTTTAAATGTATAGTTTCATGAAAACATTGCAAACACATGATTGTGCGCATAATGCTAATCCCTAACTTAAAGTATGTTAGTATTTTTTGTTCCAAAATTTCTCATGGTAATAAACAGTAATGGAGCACATTCAAAAAAAGATTCTTTAATCTTTTGATTTATTTCAGAAGGGCCTTTACCAGCTTTTTCTTGATTTCCTGTGAGTCTACTTCAAGTCCCCTGAGCTCATGCACCTCTAACTGGGAAGAGTGAAGCTGTAGCAGCAATGTGTGCAGCTCCCTCTCCACTACTGTTTTGGCTGCCTGCACTTCTATCATATCTGATCTCATGTCTACCAGCTGAGCCTGCATATAATCAACAACACCATAGGAAATAATATTATGGATGCAATATGAGACAAACTGGGGCAACACAAAAAATTAATTTTATCGGACACAAGTTTATTTTCCAAACAAAACAAAAAAAAGTGATGTATTGAGGTAATAAACCACTCATAAAACATCCATAAGTACACCAACAACACCCCCATTGCCTGGTGCTATGCTTTGGTCTCACTGTGGTTGATTCAATTTGTATTTCACTTAACTTTAAGGTTATCTTTAAATATTTTTTTACAGCTCAGTTTTAATTGACGAAAATCTTTATTCTAAGACAAGCAATTGTATCAACAAGATTAGAACTACAATTCACATTTTTAAAGAAAATTCAAAAAAATATTTGTATTTTGTTCTTTTAAATCTGAACAAGGTGTTTCACTTTCTTATTGACATTAGGGTAGGACAACAGCTCACACTAACTGTTGGGTTTTCAGAAATTCATAAATTTTAAAGATAATCCTGATCAATATACAAATAAATACTGATAAAATAAACACTTCAAAAATGAATTGAGGTTAGAATTTGTCAACATATGGCTGAAAATAGTGCATGCATTTAATCTCCACAGTTTGTTAGTGCCAAAGGCTCTTTTAAATATATTACTTAATATCTTTCATCTTTCTTTGGCTCAATGGCACTTTTTATAGAAATATGATTTGTTAATGCATTTTATTTGCATAAAAGGCTAAAGACTTTAAAATCGGTTTAAAAATTGAGTTTATATTAACTTGTGTTTAAATAAATAGAAAATTCACCTGACTGTTGTGCTGGCATAACCCTATACAAGGAAACTTAACATCTTTTCTTAAAATTAATAAAAATAACGCTTATTTGTGATATTTTAAGATCAGCTACATACATTTTTTTTAAAGGCAAATTAGGTAATGTATGACTATTGAACTAATTATGAGCAGGTAATGAATTAAAGAATTATTCATGCCAATGTGCAAGTATGTAAAGGCCACAGAATCACTTCTTGTAGGAAAACTGCAAACTGAAATTTATAATGGATTTTACTGTGAATTTTTAAAAAATAAAATTTAATTGTGAATATTAAACAATGCATACATTGCTGGTTATTGTTTCCTTTAAATATATCTCTTTTATCAGTTATAATTATATATGTGCGTATAAGTGGTATATTTCTAAAACATATAGCCAGGGCACAAAAACTAGCTCTCTAGTGGCATATTTACTACCTTTTCAATTTTTTGCACAAGGAAGTTTGCATTAATTATATGATACTTAATAATTAGTGTCTGAAACTACTTCTAGCCCCTTTAACAAATATAATTTCTCCAAAAAAATTTTTATCTTAAAACTATCACAAAAATTATTTTCATTCAAATTTTTTACACTAACCCTCTTGAGGCGTGTTAGCCAATCTATCAGCCCAGAGTGTTATGGCAAAAAATACAAAGGGCAGCTCTATCAGCCCAATAATAAAAACTTGAGATTGGCTGGTTGGTCCTCGTACCAGCTAATCAGATTGCTACTCGCATTTCTTGCTCATTCGCCATTTTAATGGTGGATTCCATTGATATTTTACTGTGTTCTATTCTTTTATACCAATTTTTTTTGTACGCAGTGACCCTTATGGATGCTTTAAAAATATGTGACCTTGAAATATGCAGACCTTCTAACCTGCCAAGAAAAAAGTCTGTAGGGGGTTGCACACAGGGGGGAAGTGGGGCCGCTGCCCCACAGAGGAGGCGCCCCGTTGGGGGTTTGTTTAAGATATTTATACTAATGCACAAGCCTTATTTAGTAAATAAAGAAATATAAAGGTACCTCCATTGTCTTTGAAGGGTCCACAGAACACCAAAGAACATGAGAAAAACATTACTGGAAATGTTTATATACAGCTATATACAGTACAGAACAGAAGTTCCATTTTTGTTTTTACATATGTACACACACTTAGGCTGCTAAGACTCTTAGTAATTTCAGTTTTCCAGCATATCCCTAGTGGCCTTTTTGCACTTGTCCAACAGCTCCTTAAACAACTGAAGGTTAGCATTGCAGTTGGTTTTAGTTACCAGGAGGTTAGAAAAGGTATCAACTGTCATACTTGCCCTTGTTTCATTGTAATTTTTCTATACAATCTTCTAGCATTCTGCAAGTCTGGAAACATTTCTTTGACTCTGACATTAAAACGATCGGAGTTGGCTAGAGAAATATTTCCTTCAATATTTATTAATATCATTGTACCCATCACTTGCAATAGATTTAATCATTTCATTAAGAAAAGCTTTAACAAAAAAAAGTCTGAATTATTTTTTAGCCTTGTAAAAGGATGAATCAAGATCGGATCAATTGATGATTGAAGAATGATTTGAAGATCGCGGTTCGCTTCGATTAAAACAAGGCAGTGTCTACACGTCAGACGACCAGACAAATAGTGGGGGAGATATGTCACTCTTTAAAAAAAACATTGTCACTTTTTAACCATTTGTTAATTATATATGGTTCTAGTATTTCTTTTTTATAATCTAACATATTTCCTTTTCATGTAAAAGTCCAGACTATATCGAATTAGTTGAAATGAAGTTGAAATAAAGTACCGTAAACTCTGATCAACTATTAGCAGTCACATGACAAGGCTGACGTACAAATATCTTGCGAAACTTTGTTACGGTGGTCATGTGACTTGGTCGAATAAATACTTGCCGGGCGAATATCTCGAGAATTTATTCACTTATTCGTCCGGTTGACGGACTTGTATGCACTTCGTAAAAACAAATGCAACACTTCCTGATTTTCAACGCTTTCAGATTTTTATGACAGGTGAAAAATTATAAAGTTAGAAGAATCTGAGTTTTAAGGGGTTTGTCGGAAGGTTGGAATGAGGGGTAAAAATCTGTATAATTCCGACAAAAGCGGAAGGGTTGGCAGGTCTGAATATGTCAAAATAATATAATCAAAAATATCTCTGAGAGTTAGTGATGCATTTATCTTTCACAGGGTGGCATAATAGATCTGGTATGCTTCTCTCTAACTTCCTGTATTGCCATCATATGCCTGCTTCATCCTCGATGTTTTGGGCCATTAACATTTTGATCGCAAAGTTAAACTCAAAACCATATAACCACCACCAGGAAAGAAATAAATAGTTTAGACAACCAAAAATGTGATGTTGTTTCCGTTCCCAAGTTAATATTCATTTTGATTATTAATGTGGGTTTAGTGCTCTAATATAGGGTACATTTTTAAGACGTTAGAAAAATTGGTGATTCGAGAAGAAATTAACCACACAGCAGGCAAGAAGCAAATTGTTGACTTAACTTTTGTTTAGGGCCAACAAAATTATTTTTTTTTATTTCAGCTATGTCTTTTTTTAGGTAATATGTTAGACCTCTTTTACTATGGACTTGTGACCCAATTATTTTGTTTTTATATTGTGCTGTTACTTTATTACACAATAAATTTAAAGTATCAAAAATAATTCTTTAATATTTGTTAAGTGTTTTTAATTGCTTTAAAATATTCAAAAATGGGTTTTAGTCTACTCTGAAAGGTGGAGAGGTCAAGTGAACAGTCATAAGTCAATTTTTGGTAAAAAATCAACAAATGAAGGTCACTTAGCCTATTCATTCTGAACTAATATAATTGATACATAGATTTTGACACATAGATTTGCATACAGGCAAATATGACCTTATTTACTGTATAAAATAATCAAAACATGTGCTGTCTGAAAAATGGAGCATGTGACCTTTCTTATATCTATCAAATAAGCTTCCAAACCTAGCTAAAAACCTTTGGTCGCCTCCTTTGACCATTTCCATGTGCAGACTCAGTGGATTTTTCTTTTACAACTGCACATCACAATTCTAAACGTTTAGATATCCTATACTTTTCAGATAAAATTTATTTTAATCTGATGAAGATGGTATGATTTCTGCTAAAGTGTGGATACAGGAAGTGACAAATTTATGGCGCAAGCACATTACCACATTAAAACATTGAGCCTTCTGGCTCCATACACCCCAAAGGGACCCAGCCTGTCATAGCATTTAATGTAATCAGATTTCATTGGTATCCTATACTTGTTTTTGGTAAATGTTTAATTTCTACAATTATTTTTTCATAGATTGTAATAGTAATTAGACTAGCGTCAAGCATTCTGTTGGTCCCTATCACGTAAGTCCAATACTAGGATTCCCCAAAGTGACGTCACTGCGATAAGAGAGAGATTACTCTTGGCAAAACCCATGGCATTAACTACACACATATATTTAAATGAAAATTTCAATTAATTTTTATTAAAATTTAACTTACAAGGTTCAAAGGAAATTTTTTTAAAGAAGCTCATCCTTGTTAACACCCCAAGGTGAACACCAAAAAAAGTTGCAGGCATTGTTAAAAGTGATGTGTTTTGAATGGTTGAAAAACGAAGTACCAACATGCTATTCAGCTATTAATTTGAATCATGTCACAATTTGACAGAACATTGCCACATATTTTCTGGGGAGGGGAGACACCTTCCCAACCCCACCCCAAACCACCACTAATTTAGAAACTAAATAAAAAACAACACCCCAACTTAAGAAAAAAAAACTTTTATGAAATAAATTGAGAGCTAAAAATTGAAAACTTTTGAATACATAACTATGGGTGGTAGTTGAACTTGGGAACAGATTCTGATATTACTATAAACTGTGAAAGACATTGCTGGCCCTGCCACTATCAGCATTTTGGTTTTGAAGTGGCTATGCGGAATCAGAAAAGAGTGAGAGGTTGGGTTTATTTAAAAAATATGTAAAATGTTATTGTTGGGTTTGTAACACAAAATTTGGTATCAAATGAAAGATACTTGAATGGACTATAGCCAATAGATCTATGTTTGTGAAATTACTTCTTCAGTTTAACTAAAATAAACTACCACAAATGACATCAGAATAGTCATTTAGTCTAAAGACTAAAGGGACCCTGGTCCCAAATAACTGCTTTTGTTTCAGCTGTTTCTATATAAAAAAGTAAGAAAAAGGGGGGGGGGGAGAGAAGAAGGGTATAAAAGGGGGGTTACCAGAGGGGGGAAACGGAAAGGGTAAGGAGGGAGGGCGTGTTGACATCGAACCTTTTAAGATGTTATTAAGATCTTGGGCCCCCCAAAAAAATTGGGGAAACACTGCTCTATGTATTCTAACTTGTCTCTAACACTCGTCACTACACTAGGACTAGGACTAGTCTACTCTAAACTCTAAGTAGTCTAAGTCTAAGCCGACCAACCTCTAATTTGGCGTTGCACTGGAATATGGTCTGTGCTTTGTGGCTAAGCTGAGCGAAAGCTGCACTTAATGCAGTCATCTTTTGGCGACCTTCAAATGTTATTTCACATTGATCAGGGTCAATTTCCCCTAATAGCAAATCTAGGTCTACAAAACCTTTATCGAATTCTTTTTCCAATATTTCCAGCCATCGAAATGACACCGTGGCAGCCATGATGGTCTGTTTATTTATAAGTTGTTGTAAAGCTACACAATAAATAGTTTGGTATTTGAAGGAATTGCCCATTTAGGATATACTGAATCCATGTATTTATTTTCGGTAGCTTAATATTTAAGTTACCAGTAGGTTTTTTTTTTTTAAATACATATATTAAATTCTTACGTCACAAGTATTGTTTGTTCCGTTTCTCACATACATTTTGGGAAACATAGGCATTCCGGTTAGTTTTTTAATGCGACGATTGGCTATTGTTTCTTAATTGTTTATTTAATGTACTTATTTATTATTATTACCACTTATTTATTTTTATTTTAAATATTATTTTTCTTTTTTTTAAATAAAATTCATGAATAACAACGCTAGAAATTCTTTGTAGTCAATGATTGAATGTCTTATTTGCAATGTTTCTGTTCCTGGTGTTGATGAGGAAATTTCACTGATTTCCAGTGCCACTTTGTGAGGGAATCATGAATTAAGGGGTTTGAAGGCTTGGGGCAATAGACACAAATGTGTCTAGTGTTGTCGCATCAACCGTTCTTTTTGAAAGCTTATTCCAGTCCCTGATTGTCTTGGGCAGGAATGAGCAGCTCCTATACTGGCTTCTTGCTGGTATGAGCCTGAATTGCCTGTCATGGTCTCGTCGCTGTCTGTGTGGGAGAGGGATTATTGCCCATCTTTGCACACCAGCCTACTTGATCGAATTTGCAAAGTATGTCACTTATACTTTGCCTCACAAACAATGTCGAAGAAACATACAGGACAACACAGAGCTCGGGCTCGGGAGAATGTGCCAACCCAAACTGTTCAAGAATCAACTCAGATAAAACGCATCAATCCTTTGAGAATCGCTGCTAGAAGGTAAAGAGAACTCATGGCAGTTATTGCCAGAAGAGAAAATGCACATTCAGAGGATGTTGAGTGGCTAGATGAGGATGAAGTTGATCTGTCTGCAATTATCCTTCCAGGAAACGATGATGGTGAAAGATTGATGCCAGTCGTAACTATGGATGAACACTTCACTTCACCATGGATAGATGATGTCCAGTGAATATTTTTTAATTAAACATAATTCACAGGCCCATAATAAAAAGAATCAATATAGCACACGAGTTTGTCACATAATGTGTCAATCTAGTCTTCCTTTAGTCAAATTGTTTTGTTTCCTTTTTATTATTTAATCACTCACTGGGTGAGGTCAAGTTTCGCTATCTCCTGTGTAAAAAAGATTTCATAATCGGAAAACTTGACCTCACCTTTTGTAAATGAAAAAGCAGCAGATAAATGATGTGTATTTTATAATTTTCTAGTCTAATTTTTTCAAATTTTGTTTTCAAATTCAATCTATATTGAGTTACTGCTTCAATGAATAACTGTGACAACTGTTGACAATTAACTATTCTACTATTATTTATTTATTATTTATTTAGGCATTTTTATATAGCGCTTATCATAAAGCTCTAAGCGCTTTACAATTATTAAAACATGTAAACTAAGTAAATACAAATGAGACACTAGGATAGTAACTACTATTCTATAGAAACAATGAAAAT